CTATGTAGGGGCGGATGTCGTACTGCAGTGTGAGGCAATGATGTATTATTATGTACGGGCGGGTGTCGTACTGCAGTGTGAGGCAATGATGTATTATGTACGGGCGGGTGTCGTACTGCAGTGTGAGGCAGTGATGTAATTATGTACGGGTGGGTGTCGTACTGCAGTGTGAGGCAGTGATGTATTATGTACGGCGGGTGTCGTACTGGCAGTGTGAGGCAGTGATGTATTATGTACGGGGCGGTGTCGTACTGCATGCGTGTGAGGCAGTGCGATGTATTATGTAGCGGGGCGGGTGTCGTACTGCAGTGTGAGGCAGTGATGTATTATGTAGCGGGCGGGTGTCGTACTGCAGTGTGAGGCAGTGATGTATTATGTACGGGGCGGGTGTCGTACTGCAGTGTGAGGCAGTGATGTATTATGTACGCGGGGCGGATGTCGTACTGCAGTGTGAGGCAGTGATGTATTATGTACGGGGCGGGTGTCGTACTGCAGTGTGAGGCAGTGATGTATTATGTACGGGGCGGTGTCGTACTGCAGTGTGAGGCAGTGATGTATTATGTACGGGGGCGGTGTCGTACTGCAGTGTGAGGCAGTGATGTATTATGTATGGGGCGGGTGTCGTACTGCAGTGTGAGGCAGTGATGTATTATTACGGGGCGGGTGTCGTACTGCAGTGTGAGGCAGTGATGTATTATGTACGGGGCGGATGTCGTACTGCCAGTGTGAGGCAGTGATGGTATTATGTAGCGGGGGGTGTCGTACTGCAGTGTGAGGCAGTGATGTATTATATGTACGGGGCGGTGTCGTACTGCGTGTGAGGCAGTGATGTATTATGTACGGGCGGGTGTCGTACTGCAGTGTGAGGCAATGATGTATTTGTACGGGGCGGGTGTCGTACTGCAGTGTGAGGCAATGATGTATTATGTACGGGCGGTGTCGTACTGCCGTGTGAGCAGTGATGTATTATGTACGGGGTGGCGTGTCGTACTGCAGTGTGAGGCAATGATGTATTATGTACGGGGCGGGTGTCGTACTGCAGTGTGAGGCAATGATGTATTATGTACGGGCGGGTGTGCGTACTGCCGTGTGAGGCAGTGATGTATTATGTACGGGCGGGTGTCGTACTGCAGTGTGAGGCAGTGATGTATTATGTACGGGGTGGGTGTCGTACTGCAGTGTGAGGCAGTGATGTATTATGTACGGGCGGATGTCCGTAGCTGCAGTTGAGGCAATGATGTATTATGTACGGGGTGGGTGTCGTACTGCAGTGTGAGGCAGTGATGTATTATGTACGGGGCGGGTGTCGTACTGTAGTGTGAGGCAGTGATGATTATGTACGGGGCGGTGTCGTACTGCGTGTGAGGCATGATGTATTATGTACGGGGCGGGTGTCGTACTGCAGTGTGAGGCAATGATGTTTTATGTACGGGTGGGTGTCGTACTGTCGTGTGAGGCAATAATGTATTATGTACGGGCGCGGTGTCGTACTGCATGCAGTGTGAAGCAGTGATGATTATGTACGGGGCAGGTGTCGTACTGCAGTGTGAGGCAGTAATGTATTATGTACGGGGCGGTGTCGTACTGCAGTGTGAGGCAATGATGTATTTATGCACGGGCGGGTGTCGTACTGCAGTGTGAGGCAAGCTTATACATATTAAAAGTAGAAACAATTAAGAACCTATTTAAGAACCTTTTGAGCCTAATTTTTCAGTAAGCACCATTTATATAAGAACATGTTGAGGCTAACCTAATTGGAAAAATATATGTCCTTATACGCGGGTTATTACTGTATGTACGGGGCGGGTGCAGTGTGAGGCAATGATTTAACATGCCCGATTAAACACGAGACAAGCAGGAGCGAACAATTACGAAATCATATTATCAAGAGTCCATAATAGAAATTTCTATTAGAAAATTAGAAAATTAGAAATTCCAAATAGAATTTTATATTATGTACAAGCTCTGTTACGATCTCTCACGAAATACATAATACTAAGAGAAGGATAGTAGATTATTCGCTGACCTATAATATTCTGCAGAGTGAAGAACGTACGTACATCATTAACACCTTGATGAGATTCAGATTGGCCAATCACGTAAATTATTCATGTAAATTGCCTAATTGTCGGGATGCGGATGCTGGAGGATGTGAGTTAATATTTCATGCATGTGATTGAGTGACATCTTATATAGTGTATTAAAACTTAATGTCATGTTTTTTTAAACAAAAACATGGAGGTGATAGATGGATGGAGCATATAGAAATAAAAACTGTTGACAACTAGGATATTCCTACAATAGGAGCAGGTGGGAGCAATTACGTTCGCATTTAGCATGATACATTTAATTAGTATATTTAATTAGAATATTTAATTAGTAACATGATACCCGACTGTACACGTGCAGCAAAATTGAACTAGCACAGCAATGAATATATAATGGCTGACATTATAGAAAAAGAGGGGGCATACATTACAACATTACATGTGCCTTTACTGGCAATTGGTTTTACGTATAGGGACTATTCGAAGCGAGACCATACCTGCCCACTCCATAACAGCAGACCATTGCTGGCTTTTGTCCTAAAGGAAATCTGAATCGAGTTGACCTTTCCAGCGATCCTGTCAAACAAGTGACAATTAAGCGCGCAGCGATTAGACACATCGGAATAATCGGCAAACCTGTTTAATAAATTCGCGCGTGAAAAGCTCAAACAGGATACTAAAAGGGACACCAGTTTAGCTGGATGTTAATTGAATTAAAAATACATTAACTTAATAGATTCGTGTGGAGACGTATGGAGCCGCATTGGGTGAGCTCATTTATAACACAGACCCTTTTAAAAGGTGCCGTGTGGGAACAGCACATATTTTCATTTCATCACGAGCTTTCATGAACTTGACAATACTTCGTAAACACAGAATGTCAAACCAAATTACTTATTGAACGCAGAAGGTATTTCTAAATCAATACGTGGAAAACCTCATCACTCCAAGCCTTGCCACGCTCTACAGAACTCTTATCAACGCAGTACACGGACGTTAAGCTATTCTGTAATGTGTATTAGTGCATCACATGATAAATCGTTGAAATTCTATTGGATAACGTCGCAGGTACTATGAAACAATAGTGCCCGCCTGAGCGGGCACTATTGCTTGCGCGACGCATTGTTATGATAACGCATTGTGTTTTAATACAAATTGAAATTGTTCGTTTAAGAAACTTTGTCATATTCACTTCATATTTGCCGAGTAGATTGCAAAGTCATGTGATGCACTAAAAACATTAATGCCTGTTGTTGGGGGCACTATGCTCTCATGAGCAACACTATGAGAGCAACACTATGAGAGCATAGTGCCCCCAACAACAGGCATTAATATATAAATAATGTAAAGGTAAGCATACGCACGCGCACGCGCAGTCACACGCGCACGCACGCATGCACGCACACTCACACATGTATTCGTGATAATAATCATTAGCCTAATAAACAACCGGATACTATCGGTTTTACAACCTCATCATAAAACGAGATCGATGCATATATACCTGGACAGAATTTCCTCCCGTGTGTAATACAGGTAGCTTCTGCCAGTAAACTGTGCAGAGGCCTGCCTCAAATTCTCTATACCAATTTCTAAAATAAAAATAACGAACAGTCATCATTAAGGTTGCTTGTTATTTGCACTTCCATCTTATTTTCTGTAATCGATTAACCAATATTACAGATATTTAGTTACAATATTTAGTTTTTACATAATATACTGTTATTTATTTACTTGGCCCAAGAAAATATTCAAGTTAGGTAATCGACTTTTAATCAATTAATCGATATATAATATAATCTAATTATGCCCTCTCAATATAATGAATTTATCAATATATTTTTTCACTTTTTTACTTTCGGGGTTCACAGTTATTAGGCAAAATTAAATTTGAAACACAAGATAGGACTGGTTTTTACGCGCTAGTATTCTTTTGCCTATTAAAATGTAGTTTACGTTATTATCAGATTTCTAACATTTACGTCGTCAAACCTTTGCAAATACAAATATGTGCCGGTGCTTTATACTAAACGAGCACTTTCCTTTTCCTATTTATAAACTAATCTATCACATAAAAAAGACAAGTTAGCAAAGGGGAACTAGCCAACAAACGAACGAAAGGCGTCGCAAAATTTGGAATGCAATGAATAAAGCATCAGGTAGGATGCATACACGATGGTTGATCACGAGAAATCTTTGATCTGACATGAAAACGTCTATAAGAATTCCGAAGGCTCCATCCAATCTCTACCTATTGTTGTTACCGTCAAAGCAGAGCAGATGGCAAAATACATATAAGTGAAAGTTCTCTCGTTTTACAAAAGGCAGCCATCTTGCAACTTATTTTTTCTCTGGTACCGCGCACGCGCCAGTGAATGCACACGTAATAATTCCCATTTTCGAACACGCCTGCTAATTAAGTCCAGTAATTACCATGCTCACGTAAATAACCGCTGATACACATAACGACGGAATGTACGCACGTAGGTTCATCGAACACTGCCCCCCGGGGCGATCGATTCTCATTGCGTAATCTATGATTTACTCCCCCCCCCCTAATTACTACCCCGCTAAGTACTCGTCCTCGCGCGCGACACCGATCAGCGTGTGTTCTGGCACCTTTCTCGCAGTTGTAGTCTGTGAATCCCAGCCGACAGTCGCACGTGTAGGAGTCCTTCTCGGCGTTGCAGACGCCCCCGTTGAGGCATGGCTCGCCGGCGCACGGATGCAGGCAGTTGGCGACGTTCACCCCGACCAGCGCCGACTGTATCAGGCGCAGACGCACTCCGTTTATCGACACCTAGTTTTTTTTTGCAGGATTAGACAAAAAAAGCACGCGGATTCACGCAAGTGAAGCAATTATGAGCAGAAGGTGCAGCGATAATCAGATCTGATGCCTACCTCCTCCGTCGCAGCGGACGTCGTTACGCGAGGCGACAAACAAGCTGCGAACGAAGCGACAGTTTAAGCTCGGGGGTACTTACGGTGCAATTATCAAGGATTTGTCACCGCGTAAGAGCCTCCGCCGTCCGTCGAAAGGAAGTATTACGTTATCAAAAGGAGACGATTTTCTCAATTACCGCATAATTGATCTCATTCTCGCAGCGACCCGCGCGTGAACTTGTCGCGGCATGTCGGCCATCTTGCGTGCGCACAATCAATAAATGCAAAATTTAGCTCTCGGGCGCATATATATGTTTCATTTGCACGTCTCTAACTGCTAGCGTAAATACAGGGAGTCTCTAGGTTGTGAACATTCGGCCTTGGCCGCAATGCTGCCTTCATGCATTTTAATATATTTCTGAAAGACGACCTGCACGTACGAAACTACCACGAATCAACATTTTAGAATAAATTTTATTACCAACTCGCAGACTGATTGTAGAGGAAGAAAAAACATCACAGTATGCTTAGCAAGCATATGCCTAACTAAGCCCGCAGTATGAAGCATGAGAAAAAGTAATACACAAACCTTCTGGATGCAGCCATAGAAATTTTGCAATGTTTGCAGCGAACTCGTGATGTCGTCCTTTGATCTCGTGCCACCAATGTACAGGTCTCCATGCAGCGACAACTCAGTGTATCCACCACGTAGCAGCACCTCCACGCGTGATTGGTTGTCGATCTGCAAGATGGCGTCGCGGCCCGTGCGCATCACGTGTACGGTGTGCCACTGGTCCATGTCAAGTCTCTCCATGCTCCTACAGAGAAATGTCCATAACATACATACACCTTTATAGTTACTAGATGCGCATATGATGATGCATGTAACAGAAATATTACCAATAAAAACAAGAATATATAAATAAATATATATACAAAATGAGTATCGTTATGTACTCTTATAAATTCTCATGTTTACTTCGCTTATGTACATACTCTAATGATATACCGCCTGTATAATACCGGAGCACGTAGTACATCATTATGAGTGAAGACTGCATGCAGCCATGAAAGATGGAGAGATAGCGATTGCTCATTGCAATGATAAACTTGACATGTTTAGTAGTATAATACCTAATCTTTGCTTGACCAGTGCCCAAATCACATCTAAACTCTAGATAGCCATCTGTCATTGTGAGTAAAATAAAATCCTCAGGCGCCCCAGCTTCCCGTGGATTTCCATTGTAGAGAATCACGCCATCTGGTGCGTACGGCTTGAAGGCAATCTCCATTTCGAGGAAAGAGAGAGCAGAGTTTTCGAGCCCGTGATAGCGTAAGTAGGACGTGCCATCAAACGAAGGAACGTGGATTTCTGCAGCTGTAAACAAGATACACATAATTATAATGTTTCTATTTCTGCAGTGATTAATTGAACCGTAATGCACGTGCAGGATGGCGATTTCCAAAACTCAACTTGCCAACTCATTTAGTTCCCATACACAATAAATGGCAAATTTCTGTTAATAATGACCATGTAAACAGTTTAATTAAAAAATCCTATCGCGCGAAAACCAATATATATATATTGTATACTTATGTATACAAATATTTACTTGAGTAAATACGGTGTGTTTATTACGCACTCCTGAGAATATATATATATA